AGAGATCCATTTAAACAACATGTTAGAGTTTCAAAAGCTACTGCCTACCTTATTACAATAAAATTTTTAACATCCTCCTGAGCTTAGAGGAGAAGGCATTATTATTCCCACTTCCATAATGCCAAAATTGAAGTCAGTAAAAGTTAATTTCTAAGGTCATACAGAAATTAGTGGCAGAGGAGAAATAAGACAAATATCTCCCGGATCTTGGTTTCAGGATCTTTCTACTACGCCACACAGCTTGCCAGTTTCAGAGTATGTAAATTAAAAAAATTATTTGCATAAGGAACTCTGTACACTCCAGCATTTTCAATGGTCAGTTCCATCACCTCATCTATTTCCTCTCTCCATCCCAGTGGAATTTTAGGCCCTTGCTCTTCTATTACCTTTTATGTAATATGTCACATAAATGACACCTCTACTCTTTAATTTTTAAATTTCACTTCATGGATACTCAGGGGTAAAGGTTAAATGATGGAGTTTAACACAAAGAAGATGACAAGGATGATGATGGAGATGGCTCTGTACATGAAGAACACAGCTAAAGTCCAGCACCCGTGTGTGGGAAAAGGGCATGAACTGCAAGAACACCACAGTGATGTAGGCAGCACAGGTGAAGATGGATTTTCCTCTGCCCCCTTCTTATAAATGTTAAGCAGCGTCTGTTTAGCTTGGGATTTGCATTTCCTGGCAAAGAACAAATCATCACATTCACTCCAGCATAAGATGAAAACAATGACCACTACCCCCTGTCCTCATGGTTTGTAGGTTTTCTTGCTATGAAGCCCTGGCTGGGGAGGAAGGAACAGATCAAAAAGAGAGAATTTTTAATTCATTGTATTTTGCCCTCAGGAGTGAGCAACCTTTTGTTGCCTGAGGATCAATTAATGTAAAATAATGTTCCTGATAGGCTTAAGTGACATGTGGAAGACCATGCAGCAAGCTGGTGGTGAAATCAGTCATTGACTTTCAGCTGAATACATTTCCCATCCATGCCACTTCAATAATTTCTGAGAAGATTTATGATGGTGGCAGCATGACAAAAGTTAACTCAAAGAAAAAAGCCATACTCAGCCTTAGCACCTGTCTGAGTCATTTGGCCCCATCGTATAAATAGATGTTCCTCAGTTCAGAGCCCAGCTGGGAAGCATTGTGCCTCAGCTGTGTTAAAACAAGCTTTGGGAAGGCGACAGCCTTGGAGAGTTATGTGGATAAGTACACCAAAAACACATGTTGCCTCTCATGTACTCTAGTAAATGTGCTTGTTGTCCTGTTCCCCTAGTTTATTCAGTCTGTGTGGACACAGTCACCTCCGCAGCATGTACTGATAGGTAGTGCTTTTCATTCAAAAGACTTAGGCTGAGCTACCCACATTGCAAGGAATCAGGACACTGACCAAAATTAACTCCTGGGGATTCCACTTTCTTCACTTGTCACAATTTGTTCCCTATTCTGTATTCTCAGTTAAACCCTTATCACCTGTCCTTAGAGTGCTGCAGGAGTTTCCTAACCGGTCTCCTTTTCTTCAGTCTACTTTTCTCTCATTTATCCTCTGTGTTGTTTCCAGAAATACATTTACGTCATAAATGGGTCCAAATTTTTTCTTTGTTTGACAATTTTCAGTGGTTCCCTATGGCCTACAGAATAAAGGTTAAACTCCTTTTATAGCATCTAAGACTTTCTTCCATCTTGCATATTATCTGGTGCCCTGTTTCCTTTTATCCTCTGTTTCAGTGGCTTAAATATTAAGCAAATTATCAATGGTCCATGCTTCTGAATCCTGTGTTCCTGTTGCTCCCTCTGCCTACTCTGTCCTCCACACTCTCAGAATCTCTCATTTGTCTGCCTTGACAAATACCGATAGGCCCACCCTCGGGTGCAGGGTGTCCTCTTCCATGAAAACTATCCTGACACCCCTCAGCTAGATCCCTCCTTTGTGACTGTATCATTCCCTGCCCTGACATTTCTTCTGACACCTGTAACAGTTTATTACTCCTAATTTCTTAAACGTGTCTCTCCTTTCCCTGTGACGCAGGGGAAAGAAGACTGAGTGAGCCATGGGCAAAGCATGTATATGAGACTTCCATAGTTTCTAAGGGAATTTGGAGTTAAAATCATGTTTTTTAAGAAAGCACCTATTCTGTTTAAAAAAAAAAAAAAAGTCTTCATGGTTCCCACCGACAAACCTTAAACTGGAACAAAATCTGCTCCTTTTATGCAACTGTATTTTTTTTTTTAAATTAAATCGGCCTTTTCTTTTTCTTTTTCTTTTTCTTTTTCTTTTTCTTTTTTCGCAGCTGGCTGGCTGGTATGGGAAACCAAACCCTTGACTTTGGTTTTATAACACAGCGCTCTAACCAACTGAACTAATCAGCCAGCCCTTTTTATTTTTTGTTTATTTATTTATTTATTTTTGTGGCGAGCCAGTACAGCCTTTGACCTTGGTGTCATCAGCACCACACTCTCCCAAGTGAGCTAACTAGCTAGCCCTATGCAACTCTATTTTTCTGTCAAATACAAGCTGGCTTCTCTCTTACGATACTGACCCCATCTCTGTGGCTCCTTCTCATAGAGACATTTTCTGCATTTCCTAGTATTGAATACCCACTTCTTTGTTGCCTGTTGCTAAAGTTGTTGGCTATTTTTGCAGTATCTTATACACCTAATACGTTTTTCATGCTTATCACATTCATGTATAATTCACCATACCTCACTTTTTGACAGTTCAATATCCTTACCTAAATCCTTCAGTGTCCAACCATGAATTTACACCAGCTGAGACTGGGTAGCTGGACCACAGCAAATATGATGGTGAAGAAATATTGTGTTTGAAGATGAAGTCCTTCTGAAGATTATTTTTATCAGACTTTAATGTCTTCCCTTCCTTCATGCTGGAAAGGGCAGACTCAGGGAGGCATACAGTCATTGCTCTTCTGCATGTTCCAAAGTGTCCCTGGCTATGTGCACTAGTCTCTCAGGCCCAAGTCTAGTATAGGAATTAGCAAAGGGAATTTTTATTTAATATAAAATATAAGTGCAGAAATAGAATGGACATTATTCTGGTAGTGTTGAAGTTCCAGTGGGAGTTATTAAACAGTTTCCAAGTCATTACTGCATAGCAGTCCACACATATGTGTACACACCCACATACACACACACACATATACACACTCATGTACATGAAGATGAAGTATGAGTACATGCTAGTTCACACACACACACACACACACACACACACACACATGTACTCATGTTTCTCTGCTTTCCAAATTCTTTCAAGGCCCCAGAAGATATAAATCTATCTATTCTGTGATTCTCTCAGTTTTGTGGAAACATCGGTCTATGGAAATATCTAATGCCATATGATCATCCATTCTCAGTGGAACAATGTGCCCAAGGGTGCAAAAATTTGTTCTTGGGGGAGCAAAAAAATTCTTAGATATCACAATGATGCATAGCTCTTCAGAGATCCTCAGCACATAAAAAGTATACAATGTATCTTTGGTATTAAATGTCCTGTGGGGAGGAACTAGGATAATAGAGCAATAATTTTTAAAAAGTAGAGAAGCTCTGTCATATGATTAGGAGTCTTGCTCCAATGTCTCTGTCTTGTAGGACTCAGAGAAGTTCACAGGTTTGTGTCACCTACCAGGATGTTCTTAGCCAAATATTAATGCATCATAACAATTTGATACCTTGCAAAAAATTGTTCAGGTGTTGCAATTTCTTGAGATTCCTTACTCCTCTTGGTCAATTTTTGAATGACTATTGGAGGCTGAAGAGTGGAATTTGAGGCAAGCATAGATGGAGAAGGGGGATTCACCATCTCTCTACATATCTACTGTCTTGGACTCCTTCCCTTGGGAGAGAAGTAGATTCCAACATAGACCCATTGGCTATTCCTAAATGACCCTGAATATATTGTTTCTTGTAGCTCCTGGTACCAAAAAAAAAAAAAAAAAATGGGCCTTAAGGGAATAAAAGGTATTTTTAAGTAGTTTTTTTGTTTGTTTTTGTTTTGTTTAGATTTTTAGCTACAGTGACCTGTCTTGAATTATCTCTGTGTAGCTAGACAAAAACTGTAGTTTTTCTCCTCTTATAAAAGCCCTGGGGGTTAAAGGGAAAGAGGGAACAGACGGAAGAAGAGAGTCCAGGTTAACATAAAAGAAGTTGTCATTTTGGATTTTGTGCAGATATGTCTCCAAACTACACAAGCACCTTTGAGATTAATTTCTGTGGGCAAATCCGTAGAATGAACCTAAGAGAAGAAAATACTTGGTCCATGCATAGATTTGTCCATGTATATCTGAATTACCACTACTTAAAATATTTTTTGTCTTTTCACTAGTTGGTAAAATATATTTAAGATTATGTACTCCAAATACAAAATAAAAGAGTGATTTTAATAATTAACTGAAAATAATGGTCACCAGAGAGAGCATGTATGAAATAAATGTCTATTTTCTGTGTATATGCATATTTAGGAATAGAGGGATTGATAATAGGAAACACTGATTGAATGCCTGATTAATGCCAGGAGCAGTGCAAACCTTCACAACCATCATCTTCACAAAACTGATCATATTTCATTCTCATGACAACCTTGTGAGTATGTAATGTTATTTCCATATTTTAAGATCAGGGAGAAGTGTGGGCATGGGAATAATGTATAACACCAAAACAGCAGTTAGGTTACTGATTTCAATCATACCGCCCACACTTCTTCCCAGTCCACACGTCCGATAGCTCACATTGTTCAATTCTATCCCTTCCTATTGCTCTTATATTCCCTCTAGTAGAGTTGATGGTCCATAAAGATGACTGAAAAGAGCTAGCTGTCTCTTGCTCTGAGGCTAGCAGTTTGAGAAAATTAAATCAGGAGAGTTGATGGTCCATAAAGATATATGGTGAAATGACTGAAAAGAGCTAGCTGTCTCTTGCTCTGAGGCTAGCAGTTTGAGAAAATTAAATCAGTCTTAGACTTCCATTAATCCGACTGCTCACCCCAGTTTACTGCTCTCAGAAGGTCCAAGCCTCTTCTGCAGTCTCCTCATGGCTGACTTCATTTGTTGGTTCCTCAGGGTATAGATCAATGGGTTCAGCATGGGGGTGATGACCGTGTTATTAATGGATATGGCTGTGTCTATGGGCAGGGTAATGAAGGGCCGGCAGTAGATGTAAACGGAAGGCATGAAGTGAAGCGTCACCACCAGGATGTGGGAGGTGCAGGTAGAGAGGGCCTTCTTCCGCCCCTCACCAGGGTGGGATCTCAGCAGCACCAGAATGATGGTGTAGGAGACCAGCAGCAGAAGGAACCAAAGCAGGGTCACCAGTCCATTGTTAGAGATCATAAGAAGCTCCAAAGCAAAGGTGTCCGTGCAGGCCAGTTTGACCACCTGGGGCACATCACAGTAGAAGGCATCCAGGATGTTGGGGCCACAGAAGGGGAGTGGAATCATCAGAATTATCTGGGCAATTGAATGCAAAGCACCACCCACCCAGGAGGCCACCACCAAGACCACCCACACCTCTCTCCTCATAATGGTCACATAGTGCAAGGGTTTGGCTATTGCAAGGTATCTGTCATAGGCCATCACAGAGAGGAAAAAAATATCTGCCCCACCAGCAAAGTGGAAGAAAAA